ATTGATTTTTTTAAAAGAACCTCACCAAATTGTGAACACAAGGAAACTTACTTAAATTGGTAGATATTATTTAAGTTTCATTTTTAGTCTCTACTGGTGAAAGATTGAGATTGAAGTCAAGACAAGAATGCCTATCATCCTTTTTGTCATTATAACAAATACCTAAAAGAATGAACACATGGAGAAAAGGCAAATTTTGGCTCCTGGCTTCAGAGCTTTTAGTCCATTGTCATTGACCCCTTTCTTTTGGACCTGTGACAAGCAAGCGAGGCAGCAAGACATGATGAAAACACTGGGAGAGGAAAGTTCTTCATCTCATGACAGCCAGGAAGCAGAGAAAGACAGGAACAACTGGGTACCCATATTCCCTTCAAGGATACATCCCCCAAAGATGTCACTTCCTCCTGCTAGGCACATCCCCAGTGACCTCACTTCCTTCAACTGGGCACACCTCCAATGACCTTGCTTCCTCCCACCAGGCCATTTCCTAAAGGCTCCATGCCCTCCCAGTAGCACCACAGGCTGGGACTACACCTTCAACTAAGAGCCCTGGGGGTTAGTCCAGATCCCAACTGTGACACCCACTTCAGAAAGATTTCCTGGGCTTGGATATGGAAGATGAAACTATGTGAATAAAATGAAAAAATAAAAGTTATAAGTGAGAAAAAAAATAAATCCATCATTATTTGAAGCAATTATATGTGTAGAAAATCCAAAAGAATTTATATCCATTATTACAATTAATATATACATGTAAAAGGGTTCTAAAACAAGTCCACACACACAAGTAATTGTATTCTTGGAAGCCAAAACTACATAGAATGAATACACATTTCAGAAACCAAAAATACAAATTCAGAAATCTTCTTGGAGCACTTGGAAACACATGGGGCAGTGGAAGGAGATGTGTGGACCATGCCCCCCCCCACACACACACACACAGGATGACTCATTCTTCCCTCCTTGCCCACAAACACCCGCCCAAGGTAAGGCCTCTGATTATAACATGAAAGTTCTCTCAGACAAGTGGCTCAGAACTTATATTTTAATGTTTTTAAGTTTCTAGTTTAGGAAATGGAGATAGACTTTGTGGAGATGGGAAGGGCATCTGAGGATGGAGGGAGAGAAGAGGGAGGGGAGAAGTAAAAATGCTCAAGATGTGATATGTACATGCAACCATTTCCCATGATGAATGCTTTATGTATCACAAACATATACTAATAAAAAGGGAGAAAGTTTCTATTTTAATAAGAAAAGCCTATAACGTTCAAACTGTTTCAAGACAAATAAACCTTACTTTTCATTTATAAAAAAATATAGTAAATATCCAGAAATAAATCAAACAAAAGCTATCATGTAAGATATCCCTATAATATTATTGTTATAAATTAAAGAAATTTGAATAGAAGAATACTTCGTGTTTGTGTTTTGGAAGACTTGATATGCAAAAATTTAAATTCTTGCCAAATTAACATAGAGATTCCAAGTTCTATGTATGGAATCCCAACCCAATCCCCAGAAAAACTGTGTATATGTGTGCAACTTATCAACATGATTCTAAATTTTCTGTGAAGATGCAAAAAGCCCAAAATAGTCAAGATAATTATGAAGAATTATGCCAAAGACTTATCCTACCAGATATCAAGATCTATTCTAAAGCTATAGTAATTAAGATTGTATACTCTGGCTGGGGATTCAACTCAGTGGTTCCTCTGCCTGCCTCTCAAGCACAAGGTTCTGAGTTCAATCCCTGGTACCAAAAAAAAAAAAAAAAGATTATATAATCTAAGTCATAAAAAAGAAAATTGAGGCATTAACTGAGGGGACTCCCAAGAGGGAAGGGGAAGTTGATAACCTGGAATTACTCTACTTTATACAAATGGAGTCAGGTTGGCTCTCACAAAATGCTTTATAGATCTCTCTTGTAAACCACATATTCCTGAAGTTTTCTTTAGAGGTACAGCTCTTGAAGACATAGGCCTAGGCAAGGACTTTCTGGAGAGAACCTCTGTGGCACAAGACATAACACCAAGAATCAACAAATGGGATCACATCAAATGAAAAAGCTTCTGCACAGTAAAAGAAACAACCAACAGAGTGAAGAAACAACCTACAAAATGGGGAAAATTTTTTGCCAGCTATTTCTTGCACAGAGGACTAATATCTAGAATATATAAAGAACTCAAAAACACAAGACCCCCCCCAAAATAAAAGATCCTGTCTAAAAAATGGGCAACTGAAATGAACAGACACTTCTCAGAAGTACAGATGGTCAATAAATACATGAAAAAGTGTTCAACATCTCTGGCCATTAGAGAAACACAAGTGAAAACAATACTAAGATTCCGTCTTACTGCAGAAAGAATGGCCGTCAAGAAATCAGGTAGCAACAAATGCTGTCAAGGCTGCAGGAGAAAAAGTAACCCTTCTTCTTTGACGCTGGGAATATAAACTAGTACAAACCTAACTTACTTTATCTTCCAGCAGATTAAAATTTAATATTTAGTTTTAAAAAAAGAAAGTTGACTAGCAGACTAAAATATAAAATCCAGAAATAGACCTTTACACTTGTGATAGAGATAAATGGTAGTGCGATAAGGAAAGAATGGTCTCTTCAAATAATTCTTGGAAGATTGGATATACGTATGGAAGAAAATAAGCATTGACTCCTGCTTTACAAATGAATAAAAATTAAATTCTAGATGTACAGGAGTCCTGAATCTGAAAAGTGAAGCAATTAAACTACAGCAGTGCCTCAATTCATGAACTTAATTCTTTCCACAGATCTGGGGAAGATGGCTTTGTTGGTGTTTGTGTGGAGAAGATGGCCACAGTCATGTTCATCACCAGATGTGGAGTTCACAAACAGAAGCAAAATTCTGCTGAATGCTTCTCTTTGCAAACAGAATTGTTCATGAACAGAAGGAGTCATGAAGAGAGGTAATACTGTATTAGGAGAAATGTAGGAGAACATCCTCATAATCTCAGAAGAAGCAAAGAGTTCTTATGCAGGACAGAAGAACTCTAGTCTTTAAAGATATACTGACAAATCAGACCACAATTGATCTGTCAAAGGACAATTAAAAGAGTAAAATCTTAGACTTGTGGAGTTGAACATATTTGCAATAATTATAACTCATAATGAATTTGCATCCAGAATATATAAAGAATGTGTACAAATCAACAAGTAGGAAAAACAAAAAATGAATTTCAACATTGAAAAGGTGCTTGACTTCATTAGTTATTGTGGAAATAAAATCAGAACCTCAACATAGCACAATTAGACAACCACAAGAAAGGATACAATGGAAAGACACTATAACAAGGCTCTTGTACATTGCTTCAGGGTTTATAAACTGGCCTAGCCTTATGATAATGGCTACTAAAGCTGCATGTAACTCATGTCCTCTAACCATCTGTGCCAATCCAATAAAATCATTCACATATGTTCACAGAAGCCACATATACCAGAATGTGCACAGCAGTACTTTCTGATGGCCTAAAATTAGAAAGTAACCAAATGCCCTTCAACAGCTAAATGCAGAAAAAAAAACAAAGTACAGTAGACCCTTGATTTATGAGCTCAATTTGTTCACAAGGGCTGTTTGTAACTCAAGTTGGTCAAATGAAGGCTCAGGCTCTACACAACCTTCAAAGTCTCTCTCCTGTATACAGGCAGATCTCAGTGTCCTTAGAGAGACATTGGCCCGGGATTTCTCAATTAACCTTACACAGGAAAGGATGTTGTAATGTTCCTTTCAGAACTTTTTTAAATGTTAAATCTGTGTCTGAGACCATCTGGAAGCACAAGTGGCCAGCATTCAGGTCATAACTCAAGACTTTGATCATAAGTTAAAACTAACATTCCAGTTGTAACTCAAGTTGTTCTTATGTCAACCCAGTCATAACTTGAGGGTCCACTGTACAGATATTCCTCATTTAACAGCCTATCTGTGTAACAACTCTGGACATACAACCTAGGTGTGCTGTTTGGACTTGCAACTCACCACTTGAACTTAAAATCTACATTTGGATTTACAGAAACATGAGCAGCAATGTGGCCTTATGGAGGCCTCTTCTACAGTATAGTACATGTAATTTTTGCTGATTGTACTGTACAGCACAGTACTGTAGTTTTATGATCTGTTATACATGATAGTACTGCATGTAAGAATTATCCAAATAAAAGCAAATTCATCAAGTTAGTTTCCTTTGACAGTTTCTTTGTCTGAATTATATACAATTCCTCATTTAACAACTAATTCATTCACCAATCTAGTCATGGGAACAGAACTTGGTCATTAAATGAGGAGTGTCTGTATGATTTGTTTATGCTGTGGAATTCTATTAATCAATCAGAAAGGATGATATACAACTGCATTCAAAACCTTGGATCAATCACAGGAACAAATCCAATGAAAGATGGCAGATACAAAAGAATATAAAAACCAGGATCATATTAAAAGTTCAAAGAAAAATAATGTGATCTACTGTGTTAGAATCATAATAGTGACTGCCTTGAAGGCAGAGGAAGAAGGGGGCAGGACTAGAAAAGGAAAATCAGGGTGACTTAGTCACTTTTCTATCACTGGGACAAAACACCTGCCACCCACATTTAAGGAGGAGAGGTTTAAACTGGCTCACAGTTTCCAGTGGATTCAATCTGTGCTTGACTGGTTCAAGGCAGAAAGACCATGATAGAAGAGCATGCCAGAGAAAAGCTGTTCAACCCATGGCAGGCAGAAAACAGAGAAGAGAAGAGCCAAGGACAAGAACACACCACTCCAGGTCACAACCTCAGTGACCCATTTCCAACCAGGCCATACCTCCTAACAGCACATTCTGGTACTGAACTCATCAACAGATGAATCCACTGGTGAGTATAGTATCCCATGACCAATCACCTTCCAAGCCCATCTCTCAATAGATGAGACTTTTATGGGACATTTCAGATCTAAACCACAACATTCCACCCCTGGCCCAGAAAAGGCTCATGTCCATCTCATTATGCAAAATGCATTTAATCCATCTCTAAGAGTCACCAGTCTTAGCAGTTGCAGCATTGCTGAAAATTCCAAATCCAAAGTCTCCTCTGAGACTCAAGAGAAACGCAGAACTCTGAACCTCTTTTTAAAAAATTAAATATTTCAAACACACAATGGCATGAGGTAAACATTACCAATCAGAAAGGGAGAAATGGGGCCTGGGGATTTAGCTCAGTGGTGCCACACCTGCCTTGCAAGCACAAGGTCTTGAGTTCAATTCCCAGTACCAAAAAAAAATGGGGGGATGGGGGAATGGAATAATAGAAAGAAATGGACATGGAGCAGGGCAAACACTAAATCCTGTAGATGTATACCCATACATACCCAGCACCTGGGGCAGGTGGTTGCAAGATGTGAGTTCCTTAAGCTTAAGCGGCTACACCCCATGGCCTGGCTAGTTGCAGTCCACATGGCCTTTCTCTCAAGTGGCTCTGCTCACTACCTGTGGCTTTGCTCAGCAGATGTTTCACATTCCTCATTTCCCCAACTGCCTGAGGTCTCAATGCACCTTTGGCTTCACTCTCACAAATTCACACACTGCTCTCTCAGACACACACACTGCCTGGTCTCCTGGGCCGCCTTCTGAAATCTCGGTGGAAACCTCCTTGACCCAACTCTTGTATTTTGTAAACCTGAAAAGTCAGCATCACATGGATGATGCCAAAGTCTTCCACCAGCTCAAGGAATAGCATGGCCCCCTTAGATGATGGCTCCAGAGATGTCAGAGTGCCTAGATGTCTGAAATAAAGGATAACTTCCCTAGATAGCTGTGAAAGAGGAGGTCTCCTGGGCAACATTTCTCCTGAAAGGAAAGTATTTCAAGGGAGTTTACCCTTTTACACCCTTCAGCCAGTGATGGGTGGAGTATAACCAATTCCTGAGATGTCTTCAAGTCATCATTCCTATTGTCCTGAGGCAAAGTACTTGATCTTTACACTCCACAAAATTGCAGTCTCCTCCTTTCTTAATGAAACTGCAAACTTTCACACCTTTGGCTCTTTTTGCTCCTGATTCTCACTATAAATATGGCTAAAAAGTACCTACCAGTATCCATACCACAGCCTGAACATTGGGCTACCTTGAAATTTTTTGTGCAAGATCAACAAGTCCAGTCTCAAAGTACCAGTACATGGGCAAAATGTGGACAAGTTTTCTACCAATATGTAACACACATGCCCTCTAGTTTGGAGTACTAGTATTGCCAGTGGAGTACTAGTTCTGAACTGAAACCTCCTGAGCATGGTCTTTACTGTCCACATTCCTATCGGCATTATAGACTTTTGAACTCTGACTAGAATCACCCATGTAAAGCTTCACTAGCCTGCATTCCAAACATTTCCAAATTAATTTATACCAAAGGCTGTAGGAGGACTTCTGGGAAGATGGCAGAGCAGTAAGCAGCAACAAATCAGCCTCTCTAAGATTCAGAATCCAGACCCTGGCAAATAACAACTTGGGAAAGAAAAGGAGGGAGGTGGATCCCTGGGACCTAGGAAGGATCTGAAAGGAAAATTGGAGCCTATAGAGAAATTGAAGAGACAGAACACAATACAGAAAGAGGAAATGTCAATGCGCCTTATTCCATGATTCCTGCCTTTTGGCTCATGAGAAAGGAAGATCAAATCTACAGAGACACAAGTGAATGTAGGTGACATTCACCTAGAGGCCTTCAAGGGAGAAACATACCAGTGGAATGCAGCAGCAAATTCTGTGCACAATAACATCTGGAGACTGGCTCCAGATTAAGTATCTGCCATATTCCTTGGAGAGGTTGCCTAGTCAGATGCCAACTGGATCAGATGCCACTAGGAAGGGACCAACTGAACCTGAGACTCAGAGTAGTCATTGGTTGGCTTCATCTCAAGGCTCCCAGTGTTAAACTCCCACAGTGACTAAGTGAGGGACAACCACAGGAGACATTTATGGTCAGGGAGCTATGGTCAGGGAGCTATGGTCAGGCCAGCAAGAGACACTCAGAGACTGTTCTAAGCTAAACAATTCAGGCACCTCCCCCATGACCAGAGGCCTGAACTTCTGTGGATTTGAAAGTCCCAGAACCAGCAACTCACCCTAATCCTACTGCCTGCTTGCTGGTGGTACTCAGCAATGATCTGGGCTCTGACTACTTCTTTTGTCTACTTGTAAAAGCAAGTTGTGCCTGGAATTGGACACTGCCACAAAACTGTAGAGCCCAGAAGATAACCAAAGGCATGAAATCACAGCGAAATTTCTTTTTTTTCAGTTGCTTTTATTTTTGATTGTTTGCTTTTATGTTTTATTGAGAGTGTGAACATTGGATTTAGGTTGTTTGTTTGTTTGTTTGTTGTTCTTTTTTTGTTTCTTCTTTCCTACCTCCTGTCTTCTTCACCAGTTTCCTAATGCTTGGATAATCTTCCTTAGTCCTTCAGCCTTGCTTCTAATCTGTTTTCTTTTTTTATTTCTCTATTTTTTTCTCTTCTCCCTTTTAAATATTCTCCCCTCAATTACTTCTCTCTTACTTTTACTCTCTGTATAATTTCTTTCTCTTTTGTTCCTCTTTTCCTTTATCTTCTATTTCTTCACAGTACTTTGTCATACTTTTACCCAATTATATAGACATCCTTCTACTCCCCAATAAGATTCTTTGTACCACTTCTCTCTTCTCCTCATATAATAGAGTTTAAGCTTCCAAAGTTTTCCTTTTGATTTCCCCATTCCCAAACCCTAAATCTTGAACAGTATAACCATAAAACTGCATTAATCTTTTGGCAGTTAACTCTGTAAAATTACGTTGAATTCTTTTCTACCATTAGCAGAGATATAGCTGTTGCATTTAGCACATTTCAGCTGCAAGTCAATACCCGGGTTGCTTTAATGTTTACATCATAATCAACGGTTTCTTCTATAGAAATAAGGGTGGTACATAAACTGGTTCTTATGGTATGTTAACATCTAATTTATCTCAGGCAATACTTCTTAGCTGTTTCACTTGATGTTAACAAGGTGACATATTTGTCATTATTTCTCTGTAACCCAACACTCAGACTGCCTTTGAAACATTAACAATACTAGAGCACATTGCCAGAGAACTTGGTCACTGGACTAACTACACTATATCAAAAAATAACTACACTTTCATAACAAAAGTGGTCAAATCTTGGGACTGTGGAAAAGTATTATAATTAGCCATGTCCACAGTACATCACTGAAAAGCAACTGAGGAGATCTCTAAATGAGCATCAAAGTCTTTAGACTATAAGCACCCACAAGCCTCACCACAAAACTAAATAAACAAATAAATGAACAAAAACAATAGAAACATGGGAAGAAAAAGTAATAAAATGCCTCCCAAAAGCCCCAACTCCTCTGAAGCCAATTCAGGGGGCACCAAGAGTCAGAATGGTATAAGCTACATAGAAGAATTACTCGAAAGCTTAGCAGTGAAGGCTAGAAAACAGCTCAGAGATACTCAGCAGGATTAGAGAAGATAGAACAAAATATATAATATAAGTAATTACCAAAAAGATGCAGGAGCTTCAGAAGATACTAATAGATCACTTCTTGGCCTTTTGGCTAAGATCAAGGGCAGAAGACACTAATAGAAAGCTAAACAGAAACAATACAAACCATGAATGATCAGGTCACCAAACAATTAGAGTGCATGTAAAGATTTCAATTAGAAATCCAGGAGATTAAAAAATCATATTGAAAGCCTGACCTCAGGTCCTGGCTGTCCTATCAGAAACTGCAGAGAGTTCCCCCAAGAGGAACTGAAGACAGAACTCAGCAATGGGTCCATGTGCAGGACTTTGTGAACTGCTCTGTGCATGTGTTCCTTCCTAATCAGCCTGGCCAGAGGTTCTGACACCACTAAGGGTGGTGATTGTCAGACTTTCTATCTTTGTACTAAGTGTTTCTCTAGAAATTATGTGTTGATAAGAGGTGGGACAGAAGCCATTATTTGGAAAGAGGATGGAGGCCTGGGTAATAGGAGCTACTTAATGTGCCTGTGGGAGGAGGGGAGTCATAAGCCTGCTTTTCCTGCCCATAGTGGATGCTACCATCAATGACTGTCCGTACATAAATGCTGCATGCCTCAGCAGGGCCTATGCTCTCAATAATGGAGCTTGTGACATTTGTCTCTTACTTCTGTGTGGTCTCCATGTTAGATTACATGTGTGAACACATCATATAATTGCTTCTCTTTCCTTTATTTGTAGCATGCAATCAAGTATTCTTGTATTTTCAAAAATCCCATGATGCCCAACTGTAGCTCTTCACTTCTCATACTTTAGTACAGTAACAGGATGACTGGTAATTAATCATGTTTTAGCACTGTACCAGATTAGCTGAGTACCTGGGAGAGAAATATTGACTGCTAATAAGCTTTGCTTTCAGCTCTTCCTCCATAGATGAGCAGGCAGAGTATTCAGCACAGAGGAGCAGGCAGGGTATTTAGTGTGGACTGCTAGTTAGGATACCTGGCATAGAGTAGTAGGCAGGACACTCAGCATAGACCAGCAAGCAGGTAATTGGCATAGACTCCTTTTTTCCTTCTCAGATTTCTGTGCGAAAGGTCAGCATGGTTCCTGCCATTTTCTTCTTATAGTGCTTATCAAAGTTCTCATTCATAGCCACAGTAAAATGGTTCTTCCAGTCTCCAGGAATTCCTGAAGGACAGCAAAGAAATTCACGAACAGATGCTCACCCCTTTCCACCTACCTTCTCAACATGGTTGGTCCTTCAGCTCCACTCCATCTGACCTTCCCACTGTGAATGGCACCTAGGCCCACTCCATCTAACCATCTCAACATGGATGGTACCTAAGCCTTACTCCATCTGACCTTCCCAATATAGATGACATCCAGGTCCATTCCATTCTGATTTTACCACCATGGGTAATACATATGCCCTATTGCATCTGACCTTTCCAACATGGATGGTATCTAAGCTACTCCACCTGACCACCCCACCGTAGATAATTTCTCTTCCCAATCCATCTAACTATCTAACTATCCCATCTAATCCATCTCAACTACCTAACAATGGACACTTCTACCCCTGACCTTTAAATCACAAAATACATGGCAAACTCAGGCTTTCTCTTTCAAATTCTCTTTCAAATGACTCACTGGGTTGGACTGCTCTACTTTCTGTCCACTGAGGACTCTGATACACCTCACCCACAGTCTACAAGTAGTTACTATAATGGACTTCTTCACTCTACTTACATTGGTTCCCTGAGGCACAGTGATTTGTCTTTACAAAGCAGTTGAGTGAGGGTGGGTGAAATTAATGACACTTAGTTCCTCATAAATGTTGTTTGGATCCCAGTGATCTTCAAATGATTGTATCTGGTAGTTTAACCTATGCAAAACAAATGGACCATTCCTCTAAATTTTCCAACTGCTTTATATCTACCCACTGCCCACCTCTCTGCAAGAAAACTCATCCAATGTTTGATAATAACATAGAATTCCAGGTTCTAACTCACAACCAACAGATTAGAATCTTTAGGAATGGACTCAATGCATCTGGGCTTTTGAAGATGATTTTGGTTCAGGGTGGTGGAATGGTGTTTGGTACCCACTAGAAGAGCTCCCTGCATGCTTCTTGCCTTTAACTTTGCCTATTTCTCTGTCTGTCTGTCCTGCTAACATGAAGATTCCTCCAGTCATTCACTGTCTCTACACAGATGCTCATTTTTTCCTCTGAGGTATGAGGTTCTCTGCTAGGCACTAGTGCACAAAACTGGTCACAATATTTTCTAAGTTAAAGATGTACTGTGGAGATAGTCATGATGGCAAATAGTTACACAGCCATGTGCTAAGTGGTGGACTAGAGCTCTGAACAAAACCAGTAATGGGCCAAAGAAAAGCATTTCCAGGGCACCCGGAGAAGGCAAGAGACTTCAAGACAAGGCAAGGTTGAATTGCATTTTCAAATTTACAATGGACTCTGTTCTTAAAGAGGCTGGAAGTGCCAGCATCACCTGAGAATTGATTAAAATGCATATCCTTGGACCCTCTCTGACCTACTGAGTCAGCTCTCAGGAGGGGCTGTCAGGAAGTCCTCTGGGGCTCTGGTTATGCTGGACTTTGAGAACCAGTGGCTTTAGGTTTTACCGTGCTGCAGGTGAGGAGGGAACAAAGTTCTACTTTGAATGGGACCATTTCTTCCTTAAAATGAAGTTTACTGTTGTTTTGACTTACAAGGCAGAATAGTGTGTAGAGTTGCATTAGACAGAAGATAGGTCACCAACCTTTCCTCAGGAATGGAGAGGTGGTGTAATTGAAAATGTAGGATGGAAGAGTGGTTCAATTGGTGAAGGGATTTTCCTTCATCATATCAAAGGAGGTGTCGTGGATGATCTTGTTTATGGCGTCCTCTGACAGAGTTTTCCCCAAAAACTTCAGGATCTTGCAGATCTCAGGTTTTGGATTCTAACCAAGAGAAAATTGGCCTTAGCAGATGGAGGAAAAGGCTAAGACAGCTCAAAGCAATCTGCAGAACAGCACCGTCAAAAGGCTCTGCCGGCTGACCCCTGGTGCTCAGCACCCCTTAACTTCTTCAAGTCCTCATAGAAAAGGTAGAGGATCTGGTGTTTGTTCTATGCTTCCCACCACCCTTTCACATGGTCATACCAGGACCTATAAGCCACTGAAAGAGGCAGGGGCACTATTAGTCCACAGTGCCATGGCCAGAGGCACGGAGGTCATTTTGGGTTCCTTTGCAATAAGCTTCAGTAACTTTTATTCACTTTCCTGAGGAATAGGGAAATAATTTTCCCCTGAAAAATGCTGTTCAACCTTAAGTTGGAAGCAGTGATTCACGTAAGAAACTTACTGTATGTGATCTTAGCCACAAATACAGTGCCTTGGGAATCACCTTCAACCACTGAAGGGCCAAAACTCTTCCCCTATTCCCTGTAAGCAATCCTCACTTCCAGATTCAACCTCTGACTAGGCAGCCAGGTCCTTGGGTCCTCCTGGGGCTCTTACCCCACAGTAAGGGTGCAGGCCTGGCAGGGGTATGGCAGCCACAGAAAGAGAGGTGCCCTACAGAACTTTTATTATCACTTGAGGGTTTTGTCTGTGGAGTAAACAACAGATCAGTGTTCCTCCCACTTGTTGTTATGGAAATGGATGGAAACCCAAAGGAGCCCAGACCATGTTTCTAGTCTATCACAGGCTTGCTTGCATCCCTGATAGATGGGACCTCTGGGTGGCCCTGTGGCTTGGTCCTAGGAAGTTGTCACAAACACAGCAGGAACCTCTATCAAGGGTCTGCAAGGCTGGGAGCATCTTATGAAGGAGATATGCATCAAGCATTGTCTGAAGGGGGAAAATGTCCATCATTGCCTAGAGGTGAAATTCACAGACCACACAGCAGTAGGTGAAATGCTCTTTGGAGTCAATAAGTGTGGATGTGTGCATGAAGTTGGTTGGATGCCTGGTCTGTGGCCTGCAGACTGACCCATGGGATGTTAAGGGTTATGGAGAGATGCAGAACCAACAAGAGAACCAGTAGTGTGTGCAAGTGTGTGCATGTGTGTGTGTGTACACAGATCTATACATGCACATATATGATTTATTTTGATGAATTGGGTTTTGCAATTGTGAGGCCTGGCAAATAAAAGATTTAAGTCAGGCTGAAACTCAGGTAGGATTTATGTTTGGTCTTGAAGCAGAATTCCTTCTTCCCTGGGACACCTCAGCTTTTGCTGTTAAGACCTTCAACTGCCTGGAGGAGGCCCCCATGTTATGGACGGCAGTGTCCCATGCTAACATCCACTGTAGATGTTTACCACGTGTACAAAATCCCCACAGAAACACATGCTTAGTGTTTGGTAGAATAATGGAGCCCTATAAACCAGCCCTGTGGGCACATAAAGCTACATAAGGCAAGGCTGGACAGGAGTCAGGCAGAAGCTGGCTCCTTTTCTTTCCCTCACTTCCTCTCCCTCTGGCTCTAAAGCTCTGAAACCTTCTCTGCATGAACACAGTCTCATGTCACTCAGTGATGGGGACAAGACTACATAACCTATGAGGAAGTCACTCTGTTGTGAGTTGTGTGTGACTCTTGTGACTGCTGTTCAGAAATGGTGTTAGACCGAGCTAGCAGGAGCCTGTCTCATGCCCTGCCCTTGTCTTTGATGGGAAATAAGTCTCCTCCTTTTATTTTTGAATTTGATTGAAAGTCACATCCAGGATTTGAGGCTTTTTAACCTTTGCTTCACCCTGACACCCTCAGATAACCTGGCCTTATGTTTACATCCAGCTTTGGAGAAAAGTCCCTTCTACCTGACCTCCCCAGCTCTGCATCTCCAAGACCGGATCTGGTCACTCAGGATGGAATTCAGCACCATTCACCACCATTCTCCTCCAGACTCCAGATCCTCCATTGAGATTCTACCAAGGAAGCTGCAGAAGACAGTGCACCAGGAAGTCAGTTTCCACTTCCACTTTCCAGACATGAAGTCCTCACAGAAGTCCTCCCACCTCTCAGGATCCTGCAGCAGGGAGGTCATCCTGTGGAAGTGGTAGTAGGACATCAGGCAGTCTTTAGGATTTCAGGCCACATAGATGATCTGAAACCAAGCAGAAGAGAGGCCAGAAGAGGCACAATAAGAAGAGGGGAAATGCTCAAGAAGCTATCTGATGCAGCAACCATAGTTTATACTGTTGTGGCAGGGCAGAGCAGAGCAGCTCAGTGCTATCGCCAAGTGTTTCAGCTCAGTGTTGGGGCCAAGTGCCACAGCCTGAGACACAGCTGAGTTTTACAGCTCAGTGTAGTAGCTCTGGGACACATCTCTCATAATCTGAAGACTTGAGAATCAGATGGTCAGTAGAAGAGTGGAAAAAAACCTTTATTACACCGGCAAGCCCTGGTGGGTTCAGAGGAGTCTGAGCACTCTACCAGAAATGAGAGCCTCCTTATATAAGGATCTACAGGGTAGGCTAGCATGTTCAATGAAGCAGGGGGTGGAGTTACAGAACATTTCTGAAACGTATGCCATGTAAGCATGCTCATTGAAGCAGGGGGCAGAGTTACATAACATACCTGAAGCAGAGGACAGAGTTACAGAATATTCCTGAAACACATGCTGTGTGAGCATGCTCAATGAAACAGGGGGTGGAGTTACAGAATATTCCTGAAGCAGAGGGGAGGAGTTATAGAACATTCCTAGGGGGCGGAATTTAACAGAACCTTCCTGTGAGGGAGCAGAGTTTAACAGAACATTCCTGAAAGGTCACAGAGTTCAAGCAGCCATAAACCACTTTGATACAGTGGGCAGGAGCCCAGCAGCACAAACTTACATTTCCAAAACAAAACATATTGTGGGGGGGAAAAATGGAGGCAAGGCAAGGGCCTGTCTTATTGTATAGCACTTCTCTCAATATGTATGTGTGCTTCTTACATTATCAATCAACTAGTTAAGATACCGAAGAGATAAATGGAGCCTATCTGACCCTGCAACTCTGATGCCCAAAGGGAGTCCAAAAACAACAGCAAGTGCCCATCCTTAGCATTGTCACTGACCCTGGGAAAGATGAGTGAAATTCGTGGCTGAAATGGGTAGGACTTGCTGAGCAGCTCCATGGGATGAAAGTACTGGAGATTCTGGGGCATTAGGGAAGGAGTCTCAGCCATGTCTGAACAGGAGAATAAGACTTTCCCAGCTCCCAGCCAGGTGTGGTGGCACAAGCCTGTAATCCTAGCACTCAGGAGACTGAGGCAGGATTGCCACAAGTTCGAGCCCAGCCTGGGCTACATAATGAGTTCAGGACCAGCCTGAACGACAAAATGAGACCCTGTCTCAAAAGAAAAAAAAAAAAAAGAATTTTCCAGTTCCCATTTGGAGAAGAACTGGGGAAGGAGAAAGTATCTTCCTACATGTCATCTTACTGAACTCTACCCAGTGGTAGACTTGGCTAAAGAGAGCAGTGGTGCTCTCCTTCCCTGAGTGAGGAAGGCACTGAGAGCTCAAGAATGTGGAGGAGTATGATACTTAATTGTGGCACCAATTTAAACAGGAAATGGCTAGCAGGTTGGTTTAGCACTGTTCTGGTGGATGACTGATTTGCTCAAAAGGGAACACTTACCCTAGGTGATGGCAGCAACCAATAGACTGATACCCTGAATGAGATAAAAGGGGAAAGAAAAAGGAAGTCTTGCTTCTGCTTCTTTGGAGGAGTTCCACTCTTTGCCATCATTTTTGGATATTTATCTCCAGGCTTCTAGCACAGACTCTTCAGCCTTCTAATGTAGACCCTTTGGCTTCCTGATATGGACTTTCATGGGGCTCTGAAGTGAGGTTCAAGTCTTTGCATTTTTATGGACTTCTCCAATTCTTCATCACATAGGTAGCCCTTTTGCATTCTTCCACACCTGACTCTGAAGGTGGTCTTCTTAAGCCCATCTTGTAAATCATACATAAATACGTTTTATATTAAATCTATTCCTCCACTGAATTCTAACTGAAACAGAATTTGGTACCAAGAGTGGCTCTAGAGAAACAGAATTGCAAGGATGAATTTTTAAATGCTTTTAGTGGGTCCTGTAGTCAGCTCTCTAGTTTGATGAGACATAAAGCTACCATGATCTCTCATGTGATAATGTATGGAGAACTGATAGTCCATGGTGTGAACTGCTTAAAGTAATACACAAAGTAAATCCATTTGATTATATTAATTCACCACTTGTGAGATGAAAAGTATTTAGTGGCTCTATATACACTTTTGAATATTTTTGTCAGAGCAAGAAATATAATGATACTTCCTGGTTGCTCTTAGCATCTCTGGACAAACTAGTAAAAGAAAATCATGAGCTCCAAACATGAAAAAACATGAAATCTTCTAAATTTTAAGGAAAATAATGAGCTTAAAGATTCAAACATACATAAAGTATCCCCAGTTTTCCTGAAATAGAATCTTCTCTCCTTTAATCACAGGGCTGATTGCAGAAACTCAAACACAGGCCCTCATGATTCGGTTGACTGAAATGCAGCATAAATTTAGCACTCAGCCTTGAAGACTATCTAAAGTAAAAGTGAGGGTGCTGATTGGAGAAAAATGGGATCCCATACATTAGGATGCAGGTGTTTGGGAGAATCCTGACAACCCTGGGGATCTTGAGTTCCTAAATCATAATAAAACTATTTTGCCAGAGGAAGAGTCTTCCCCACCTACAGTGGTGGAATCACCCATCCCTACATACTCCCTATGGTGTTGACCTCTTCTCTGGTACCTAAGGAAACTAATCCTGTGTTACCTGGTACAATCACTACACATTATAATGCTGACACTCCTTAGGACACACCCTCACCACTCATTTTTGCCTCTCGGCCTATGTTGTGGCTTGTGTTTAGATATCGCCCCAAAACCTTATGCAAATGAAGTAGGGCTGTTTGGTAGATGGCTGAATCTAGAATGTGTGGCGCTGGGATCAAGGGTGTGTGGTTTCTAAACCACTATGTATGAGTGATGGTTTGGCATCACCCTAATCCCAGTGGTCAGAATAAGAAACAAGGGTCAGAAAAATGTGATTAAGTTTTCCTTGTTGCTTTTGCTACAGTGTGGATACCATGAACTGTTTCTCTTCTGCAATGCCCCTCTGCCATGTGCCATTCTGCCTTGGGGCCAGCTGATTATGGACTGAAACCTCTACAAATTGTGAGCTAAATAAACCCTTTCTCCTTTACCTTTGGGTGCTGGTTATTTTATCTCAGCAATGAGAGAAAAGTATCTAACACAGCCTATAACTATGCTCAAAGCTCAGAAAGCTCCTAAAAGTGAGGTACACAATGTGATCTGTGATGAAGTCCATTATACTCCCAAAGAACTTCTTGAGTTTTCTAACTCCAGTAAGCAGAGTCTTGAGAAACATGTACGGGTGTGGGATAATGGTGGCAAAAACATACACCTGGATTAGGTTGAGTTTGCCTATATGGGCCAGTTAAATAAAGATTCCAAAATTTAATGTTGTAGCTAGTGGAGTTAAAGGAGTTTTAATAGTTTATTTGGCTGGTTGGCAGAAGTATAGATCAAAAGATGGCCCACCATAAATGAGTTAGATATCCCTGATATTCTTTGGTTTACTGTTGATAAGGAGATTCAAAGATTTAGGGAAATGGGAATGCTAGAGTGGATTTGTCATGTTAAACTTAATTTTCTACAATGGAACAATATGGAAAATGTGCCCTTCACCAACACCTTGAAAAACAGATTCATAAGGGGAATACCAGCATCCCTGAAGACCCCATCACTGCTCTCCTCTCTATGCCAGACCTTACAGTGGGCACCAAAGTCAATAGGAAAACTCAAGGGCAATGGGTTTAATTGGATTCCAGAGTTTCTGGGGTCAAGTGGAAGCACTCAACCACCAAACATAAGGTCCACATACTTATCATAATGGATAGCAGAAGCAGAGAAATGATCATTATGGTCTGACATATGTAGACCTGGGTGTTGGCTAATTAGCCATATGGTGTTCCCAAGAGTTAAATAGGCAGGAAGTCTATTAAATTTTTATTAGATTTATATAATTGGAAAGGTTTAAGAAGAAATGAGCAGAAATCTACCTCAAATCATAGTAACAGAGAATCATGGCTCCTCAACCATTCCCAGATTTGAACCAGTTTACAAACCCAGAACCCCTTGAATGAAGGGATGTGTGGGTCCTCTTGAGGAAAGACCCTGGTATACTACCAAAAAGTTATACTGTCAGTCTTTCTCTAATCCTTCCCCAAAGGGATATAAGGCCTTTTACCAGGGTAACTGTACACTGTGGGAAGGAAAATGATCAGACATTTCAGAAACTACTGGATACTGGTCCTGAACTAATGCTGGTTCCAGGGGGTCCAAAACAGCTATGTGGCCCTCCAGTAAGAACTATAGGCCTGTGAAGGTCAGGTAATCAGTGGAGTTTTAGCAAAGGTCTGACACACAATGCATCCAGTAGGTCCCCAAATCCATCCTGTAGTTATTTTCCCAGTTCCAGAATGCATAATTGGGATAGATATACTTAGTATTTGGCAGAATCCTCACATTGGTTCCATAACCTGTAGGGTGAAGGAGTATCATGGCTGATAAGATCAAATGGAAGCCACTAGAGTTGGCTTCATCTGGGAAAATAGTAAACCAAAAACAATATCACATCCCGGGAGGACTTGTAAAGATTACTGCCACTATCTAGGACTTGAAAGATGAAATTAATTTAATCCCAATTTAATCACATCCCAATTTAATTCTCTTATGTGACCTGTGCAGAAGATGGATGGGTTTTGGAGAATGACAATGGATTACTATAAACTGAATCAAGTGATGACCCCATTTGTAACTGCTGCACCAGATGCAATTTCCTTGCTTGAGCAGATTAACACATCTCCTGGTAATTGGCATGCAGCTACTGATTTGACAAATGTCTGCTCCATACATATTCATAAGGACCACCAGAAAAAAATTTGCTTTTATCTAGCAAGGCCAGCAATATACCTCCACAGTCCTACCTCAGGCATTCCCATTTCCCTGAATCTTTGAAGTTCCTTATCAACAGTAAACCAAGGAATATCAGGCATGTCTAACTCATAGTGGGACATCTTTTGATCTATACTTCTGCCAGCCCTGTGCCATAACTTAGTTTACATGGATCTTGATTATCTTTCTCTTTCACAAAAGAAAAGTGCCCAATGGGTACAGTGGAAGGTGAGGTGGTGCAATGTGGAGATATGAAAGTTGCTCAAGGGTCAACTGGACTTTCTTAGAGATCAGCTATGGGGACAGGGACAATGAAAGTGATGCAAGTTTTTAACATGGCTTGTTGTGTAGATTTTGGAGATCTGGAAGACTTGTTGAGGGCAGATCCTACATGTTCCCCTCTGAGGCCAGAACACCTTCTAGCAAGTGGCAGAACAAAGCAAGAAGTTTCCTTTCCCTTCAGCCTCATCCATGCTCTGATTTGCATCAACACAGATTCTGTTTCTGGAGAAACTGACCAAGGAGCCATTGTGAAACGACTCAGAGGAGACAGAGAAACCGAAGACACAGGTGGACAAGATTTCAATGTATGTCATCCTTGATTTTAAGAAAAATAACTCACATTACTTTGCAAGACAACCTCACTCACATCATTCCCTTGAAAGCCATGAGAAGTGTGGAAAACCAGCACCCTTACCTTGCAGTTCTGCTTCCAGAAAAACTGCGGCAGCAAGTGTGAAGGAATGTGTGTGGCCACAATTCTCAGAGAGGGCATCACAAGAGCTTTCTCCAAACCTAGAAATACAGGGAAGAGTCTCTATTTCTTCTTATCACTCAGAAAAGTGGTTCATATCACTGATTCAAATAGGGAGCAGGAAAGAAGAGAGGGTCCTCTCCATCAGTCGACCAGGGAAGAGAGAGAGGAAATGGAAAGATGAACTCATTTAGAAGCCAAAGGCCACAAGCCAGGAGCACCAGAAGCTCTGGGCCCACACCCAGGGCTGGACTCCTTGACTCAGGAAAAGTTGACCTGGGGAAGATAGAGGGCAGTCAAGCCAGCCCTGGGGTCCTGGACAAAACATGGTGCATGGCCCTGGCAGGTCATGGTCCAAGCTGTCCAGTCCTGTTCTGCTTACCAGATCTCTCCTTACGGGGAAATTTCAGTTCAAGGAAGGGAACTCTTTCTGAGGAAATGGTGCGTCTGCATTTTACCTCATCACCGTCATTTTGAATCATGTCTAGAATCTCACACATCCAGGTTGTACCTGAAAACAGTAGAAATACTCCTTTCATCATAGTCAGTGGCTTTTCATCCTAAGTGACTGCATATTGTGCAGAAAGCAGTAACATGAGACAATGCTTTGAAAGTAGACTCATGTAGAGAGCAGAAAAGGAAACTTCTGTAAAACTGCACCTTCCCTTAGTGTGAGGTGCTGCAGAATTTCCTGCTGTAGGACTTGGAGCACTTTTCCCAACACTTGTTACAAAAGGGTTTTTTTTCCTGATTAGTAACTTCACTTCTCCAAAATCTCTTTGCTAAATAAGATAACATATCACAGACATCATAGCTCATTATTGTCATAGATCTAAAAATTAGGGCGGAATTTCTTCAGGGACCAATCTAGAATTATGTCTACCATAGGACAGCTTTTTTAAAAATTTTTTATTTAATGTATTACAAGTAGTTATTAATAAAGAAAATATAAAAGGTGTTCCATGAAAAAATAATTTTCATTACTAAAATTATTAGAGAATAACCATGGTAAGTATATTGTGTATCATGATCTTAAAAGAATATATTTTTATTTGTTAATCTATCTCTCAGCTCATTTCCTAATAATATTATACCTTTTTGCATAAAACATTTCAAGTATTGACAAAGTATCTCACATTCTGTATAATTTTGAATGAAATTTCTTCCTATTTCACAATATTAATTATTTATTGGTCCTTATTTTCACTTTCATTTCTCACACCAGAGAGACAATGCAATATTTACACATGTGTATTCAATTTATTACACTTAAGAGTATGTTCTCAAGGTGCATCCATTTACCTAGAAATGTCTTTTAAGTATAGAGAAAACATGAAAACAAAGCACAAAGAGCTTTCAAATATTTCAAGCTTTAACAGTATTTTACCCTATTAACTTTATTATCTCTATTATCTCATATATACAGTATATATCTATCATCTATCTGTCATCTGTCTGTCCAGTCTATCATCTGTATCTACCTGCTAATGTGTCACCTGTTTCTTTCTAATCTACCATATCTATCTTTCTATGCATTTATGTATCTATGTATCTATGAATATGTATCTGTCTAATCCTATCATTTATCATCTTTTCTCTTAATGTCTCAAATATATTACTGATCATCTATTTAATGTATCTTCTATTATCACCTTCTGATCTTTTCAAAACTATGCCTGTATTTATCAATCAGTCTATGAATGAATCCATGTATCAATGAATCTGTTTGTATCTATGAATCTGTTTGCATCTATGAGTCTGTTTGTATCTGTGTACCTATCAATTAACTATCTAATGTACCATCTATTATCATCTTCTCATCTATCTCAGATCTATGTCTGTGTCTCTATTTGTCAATCTTCCATCTTCCTGGTCTAGTCTATCACCCATCTTCTCCCCTGTCTGACTGAACCATTTTAGGTAACTTTCTGACAACACACCATTTCTACATCACCAGCATGCATCTCCCCAAATGGCCCACTCCCACCATCTTTCCCACATGATTCTCATCCCATCTAATTTACAGTGACTCCTTATTATCATAAAGTACTGAGTTTATACTGAATTTTCTCCAATTGCTCTATGTACTGTCATTTACAGCTTTTCCCCCAATCAAAGTTCATCTCCCCCAGCCTGAGCTCATGCTTTCATATTCTCCCTCTGGGATGTTGAGCTCTGAACAAATGGCCAACTGTCTCATAGAGTGCCCTGCTCTCTGGGTGTCTGAGTATTTCCCTGTAGTATGTCCACTGACTCCTCTCTCCTCTCCCCTCTCCTTTCTGTACTCTGGAACTCAGGCTTTGATTAGGATCAGCTAAGATATCCTTGGCAAGAAGACTCCTCAGGGGATGCTCTGCCCTTTATTTTTCATCATGCTTTGCTTGCTTCAGCAGCACATATACTATTTTTCATCATCCAAGAGCTATGTTATGTCTGATGGCCTCACTATGAGGGATTCAAAGTGTGATCACTGATTTATTATGTGAGCACCAGAATTCACACTGTAAAAGCACACATTTCATTTGCTGCTAGGAATTGGACTGTATGGTGGCATTTTGATACCATGTGACTAGCCAGTTTCCCTGATTTCATCTAATTATATCAGGATCCACTAGTGATCCTGCCTGATCTAATTTTTGTTGCGGACTACAAATCATAAATTTTCTAATCCCACCCTCTATTTAATAGCTAGATCTTGTGTAAAGAAGAACTTTCCTCGTAAACTAGGAAGAACTATAATTGCTCTACATTCTTTTTCTTAATAACTTCTTTTTGGGGTAGGAGATGGAAAACAAAAGTTGTCTTCAATACTGGTAAATAAGTTTTTCTTTGCTTTTACTTTTACCAATATTATAGACTGAGAGACACTTTGAAAGTAGCTTCCTTGCGGAAAATGTTATTTGGAATAGAATTGACCAATTTTAAATATGTAGTTTGATGAATTTTGGCAGCCATGAAACCACACCCGTGGCCCCAGTCGGAGGCTCTTGTCTCTTCTCGATTGTCTTCTCCACTTCCAGCCACCAGCAACCACTGACCTATTTCCTGTCAACGTGAATTAATTCTACACACTCTACAATATCATGCAAATGTAACAGTTTCATGTAATGGTTTGTATTCATGTGACTTATTTCTTTCAGGCATTACAATGATTTCAGGGTTTTCCACATTATCGTGTGTTTTTGTTCATTTCTTTTTATTGCTGAGAACTACTGTATTTAGTTGTGTGGGGTTTTTTTGGTTTTTGTTTTGGGTTTTGGGGGGTTTTTTGGCACTGGGGATCAAACTCGGGACCTTGCGCTTGTGAGGCTGGTGGCAGAACCACTGAGCTAATTCCCCAGCCTTACTGTTCTTGGTTTGATGGAGGTACTGCATTTGCTTATTCATTCATATAACTGACAGAAATTTAGGATGTATCCTGGTTTTGTGCTATTTGAATAAAGCTGCAAGGAACATTCATATACATGTTTTGGGTAAACATATATTGTAATTTTCTTGGATAAACCTTTAGGGAGTGGAGGTGCTGGGAGTATGTATGGTAAAGGGATGTTTAACTTTATAAGACATGATTGAACTGCTTTCACAGTTAGTGAACCATTCACTTCCCCACCCTGAGGTGGCAGCTTCAATTGCTTCATTTTCCTACCAACTCATAGCATTTCAGTCTTTTGACCATTTAATAGGTATGGGGTTGCAATTTCATCACAGTTTTCATTTACAAGTTTCTATGATGAATGATGTTGAGCACCTTCTTCTGTGCTTACTGCTTATTAGTATAGTTTTTTGGATGAGTTTTTTATACCTTTTGGACACTTTTTAAAAACTAAGTTGGGCCAGGGATTTAACTCAGTGGTGCCACACCTACCTTGCAAGCACAAGGTCCTGAGTTCAATCCCCAGTACCAGAAAAATAAATAAAAATAAAAACTGAGGGTTTTTTATTTGTAACATATATATGTGTGTGTGTCAAATATATGTATTTTGAATTTTTCTCTCAGTCTTTGCAATATCTATTTTCTTTTAAAATTATTCATATTTATTGTTTAAACTAATTACTATCATAAAAGAACAGTTATACATATTAATGGGTATCATGTGATGTTTGATACATATGTACATTGTGTAATGTTTAAGTCAGGTTAAACATATTTTTCTATTTTGTTAATGGGGTTTCTAGAAGAATGGAATTTAATTTTGATGAAGTCCATTTTATCAAAATTTTCTTTTGTAGTTTTTTTTATTTAAAAAGTGTTGACCTATCTAAGGTTTGAAGATATTCTTGTATGAATATTCCTATAAGTTTTATAAGTTTAGTTTTTGTGTTGAAGTTTCTGATGCACCTCACCTTAACATTTTTGTGTTTGGTATAAGACTCTAGCCTCTCTGTCTACCCTTAGCCAACACTGTATGGTTGAGGATGCCAAAACTAAATACACCTTAAAATCAGATACTGCAATGCCTCCAGCTTCATTTTACTGTATCAAAATATTATGTCTATTCTAGGACAATTTTGTTTTCAAAAAAAACTCAGAATCAGTTTTCTAGTTTGTGATTGGGGTTACACTGAATCTGTCGATCACTTTTGGAAGAACTGATACCTTAACAAAATTCTTTTGATCATGGAAGTGGTATGCTTCTGTCTTAAAATTTCTCCCAGTAGTGTATTCATGAAAGGATTTTGTTAAATTTATTTCTTAGTATTCCATGTTTTCAGATGCTATTTCTTTATCTATTTTAGAAATTCAAGTTGCAATTATTTGTCGCAAGAATATTAAAAACAACCCTGGGGATTTAGCTCAGTAGTTCTGATGACTGCCTCACAAGCCCAAGGTCCTGAGTTCAATCCCTGGTACAAAAAAAAACAGAAAAGAATATTAAAAACAATAATTTTGCACATTAATTGTGTATCCTTTTGTGACCTTGTAAATTTACTCATTATGTTAGTTTTTGTTAAAGTTCTTTGTATTTTCCACAGCTGTGATTTTTACCACTAAATGATTAAATCATACGAATTTTTCATAGATGTCTCTTATTATGTTGAAGAAGTTTCCAAATTGGGTTTAATTTTCTCTATTCTTTTGAGTTTCTAAAGTTGGACAATTAGATGATTTAAGTCTTTCATACACAACACATACACACACTCGGAGTAAAATTTTATAGAAAAAAATTCTCTTTGGGTTCTACTTATTTACCTTTCAGAAATTCTAATGTGCTGTGCTTTCATGATTCAATTTGTGGTATTTCTAATTTCCTAGAGAGTCACATGCTATTTACAATTTTCTTGTTTAATTTCCATATATTTTTGGATACCTGTATATTTTTCTATGAACGATTTTTAATTTAACTTTGTTGTAGCCAAAGAACACGTTCTGAATAATTTCAATCCTTTTAGATTTGAGAAGTTGTTTCAATCTCTATATTACTGTCTATATTTTAAATGTTCCATGTACACTTGAACAATATGTAGAGTCTGGTGCTGTGGGATAGAATGCTCTGTATACTTACTAATTTT